TAAAACACGGAAGCCATTTAAATTCACACATTTTTACCGATGTTACTGTAAACTGGCAGTCAATGGAAAACGAGGCGGTAATCAGTTCGTGATTGTTGAATGGGGTAAAATAAGCAAGCCAGTTTGTTGCTACAATAAATATATTTAGAGAAGAAAAATATATTATGCATTTTCTGTCATTGTCTGTGGTCTGTGTTTGCCGCGATTAGGACCCCATCGCGGGGGATCGACTTATGCACGAAACATACCATTTTGACACTGATTTTAAGGGTCAAGTTTGGGGGTCGTCTTATCCATGGGGTCGTCTTATAGCGGTCATATACGGTATATATAAGTGCTCGGTCGGCGGTCTCAAAACACCTGGGAGTAGCCTGACAATGCAGGGTTCCCCTGGTGAACACGGGTAGACCTTGGTGTATCAAGGTGATCGGTAGCTCCGCCACACTCAACGGCCTATTCACCTGGGCGTCGATAGACATCAGGCCGAGACCTGAGCTATCGGCGCCGGGGATCTGCGCCGTACCGGGGCCGAAGCCCAGGTCGGTGCTAGTCCCCAGGTTCAGAGAGTCTGAACCCTGGTCCCGAGACACATGGGTGTAGCCTGGCAATGCAGGGTTCCCCTGGTGTACACGGGTAGACCTAGGAGCGTCGAGGTGATCGGCATGTCACACTCAACAGCCTCCTGGCCTAGGCGTCGATAGACATCAGGCCGAGGCCTGAGCTACCGGCGCCGGGGATCAGTGCCGTACCAGGGCCGAGCCCGGGTCGGTGCTAATCCCCAGGTTCAGAGCGTCCCCGGAGCCAAAGCTTGGGTCCGATCGTCCCAGGGAGGTCGGACCCTTCCTGGAGCCAGAGCTCGGGTCGGGACCTCCCCCAATTGATGCGCTGGTGCAACCTCTACCCGTAGACCGGGTACCAATCTCCTTTCAGAGTCTGGAAACCACGTCTGAGATAAGAGCGTGCACCGACGATCTGCGCTGCTGCTATAAGTAAGAAATCAATCGTTAGTGTAGCAACATTGTTTGTGGGGGAGGCGTAGGCGGGGGGACAATAATGGGATTTCCTTAGAAACCTTTCATCAAAAATTATCCCCCACCTGAAGCAGATTAGTGAAAAACATAAAATCTGCATGCCTGAAAGAATGCGCGTGAGGCGCAGAAACCCAGGCGAAAGACACAACCTCGGCCACTATGAGCCACGTTGTGTGTAAACGTATGAAATGTGTATATGTGTAACATAACACAACATAATGTAACAGGAATATTGATGCAAGGGCGCTTATTATGAACATCCTTGAGCGTCTCGAGCGTCCTCGGCTAATACCGGAGGCACACCTTGTGACCATCCTGTGGCGGTAGTGTGCACGGCACAACGCACAGGGCTTAAACTGCAACAAACAGAACCACACCAGTGTTACTAGCAGGAACTGTGACGCAGCAAACATATAAACACAAGTAAATAGCAATAAATAAAACGCACGGGCAATATTTAAATGCTACAAGCTACAGCCATTTAAATACTAAACATACAATGCAAAGCAGAAAAAAGGCTAGCCGCACCTGCGTGTACATACAAGCAGGGAGACTATATAACTATATGTTGTAGATTATCCCTGATACTATAGTGAGTAGAGTTGAGTGATACGAAACGAACACTATCAAAATTACTCAACAACGACTTACCACCAAATTCGCTGAAAAGACAGAGAATTTAGGCAAGCCTATCATATATGCAAACATAATATATGAACTCCCTACTACATGCTACCAAGAACATGTAGCAAGGAAACCACGATCGCGCGGTCCGCCATTTTGCCTGCCACAAGGCTGGAAAACAGAGAACCCACAGCAAAGTTACAACAAAAGATGAATGAGAATATCAACATATGAAGTCCATCTGACGCCCATGCGTAAAGAAAGGGACCATACATACAGATTGAGACTCTTTTACACTCATCGTATCGGTAGGAGAGCAAACTCCAAGCGAACACCACGCACGTCTATTCAACAGAACGACAGCATGAAAAGTGAGGTACGAGGTAGACGGCGAGAGTTACCTGCTCTTGGCTGTAGGGGGTTCGGTGGGGCCCTGTAGGGGTGGTCTCACAAGACAAAACGAGTTTTTGATTTTATAAATATTTTATTGCAAAATATAGTTACAACTGACGTAGGACTTAAAATGGACATTTTAATGCTTATATGTACCCCAAGGAGGACTTCTTCTGAAAAAGAATGAAGATCTTGTTTTGGTTCCAACTCTGACTTAATTAGGTTCACTAGCCATTCTAGTTGTGTGAGCAGCTTGATTGTGAAGTTCAGCTGATGCCGGAGTAGATTGGCATTTTGATGAATCTGTATGCCGGTGTCCAGGTAAAAGGCATTGCGTAGACCTCGATGATGTAGGTAGGCGACTATAGGCTTGGTTATTCATGTGAATAACCACGGAGCCGACAATATTCCAAACGGAAGGACGTTCCATTGGAAGTGCTGACCTCTGAATAGGAATCGTAGATATTTTCTTGATTCCAGATGTACAGGGATGTGCAGATATGCATCCTGAAGGTCTATGCTGGCCATGTAATCTGCTGGACAGATGAGTAGTCTGAGTTGAGGTAGGTGGATCATTCTGAACCTCTCTGGTTTCAGTAGATAGTCCTGATTGAATTTTCGGCATGTTGTAAATCAACCTGAATTTCTCTTTGGAATTCTTCTTGGGTACAAGGAAAATTGGGGTGTAGAAGCCTGGTGTGAGATGATGTTGATCTATTCTCTCTTCTGCATCCTTGATCAGCAGGGCATTAATGGCTCCTTGTAATTTGTCTGCTTGCTCGTCTGCATAGTCGAAGACCATCGGTCTGAGGGTTAACGGTGGTGTGGCCTTGAGCTGCACCCTTCTCGCAATACTTGTGAGACGTAGTCATCCTCCAGTATTCCCCAATTTTCCCAGTACCTTTGTAGACGTCCACCCACTGTCGATGGTTTTACGGGAATGGCTGGGGGTGGAAGACTCCAGTCGTTGCGAAGCCCAATTTCAGCATCTAGCTCCTCTGGGAGTACGTCCTCTCCCTGAGTTCGCTCTGTAGTTTCTGGATGGGTGACGAAAAGAGCCTTTCCCGCCTCTGAAGCTGGAGTATTTTTCTCCTTAGCCTTCTGGATACCGGAATATTTCGACTTGCTGTCATACTTCTGTGAAGTATGACGAATGACATTGGCTAGAGTATCTATTGGCTTGATCATCATGACTTCCCTTGTATCGTGAGTAGCTTCCTTAGCGGCTTCATCTATCTCACCTCCGAAGATAGTTGGCGCCGCCCACGGAGCTCTAAGTAGTGGTGGGGTAAATCTGTCGCTCCAGGAACAAGATGCCAGTAGACCCTGTCTCCTCATCAAAGTGATACCTGCCTACGCTGAGGCCAAATGATCCGATATGAAGTATTGGTCCTTCTTCTGAGTGAGCAGAGCAGATAGTATCATTCGATCTTCTTCCGAACTGGGGTTCTGGAACTTGTTAATCAATGCCTCATTGATTGCTCTGGATATCGCTAATCCGAAGAAGGATCTTCTCGTCGCAGTATCAAGTTGGGCCAACTTTTTATCCTCCACCTTGTAGATCTTGTTCCGAGAGTCGTTGACTAATTCATATTCTCATCTAAGTCCAGCGCTCTCATAAAGGGGTCCCTATGATGTAATGGGAATTTCCTCGCATTAAAGGATGGCAGATGTTGGTTCAGGGATCTAGTAGCTTCTCTCTTTCTTTGCGTAGGTTCGAAGGCATCTTGGATATCAGTTCAATAGGAGGAATAGCCACTGAGTCGAAGTAGTCGTTGCACATCTTATATGTGTAGACTTCATCCACATCCTTGGACGGAGACTGTAAGTTGAGTCCATTAGCTATCCAAGCTGTAACCTCCGATTCTGGGAAAACGTAGTCACTCTGTTCATCAGATAATTCTTGATCTGTAGAGCTATGCCTTCACAATTCCTCCTTCTGCGAACTTGCTGAGCCATCCCTTCTCGAACCTCTGCCTCGTGATATATCCCTTCGTGAACGTCTGTCTCTTGAATCATCCCTTCGCGAACTTGTCTCTCGCGAACCTTGCCTTCGCGGACTTCTCTCTTGCAAATCTGGCCTTCACGAACATCTGTGAGAGCTGCGGGAAAGTTGACTTCAGATGTAGTTCTGTGAGGTGCAAGTCTGAGGATTTGCGAACGTTGCCAGTTGAAGTGAGGTTCTGTTGTACCTTCGCTTCCTCATCAAACAGTCGCTCCATCATAGACAACCATTTGGTTGGTCATCAAACAGCTGGCCTGCTGTTGTGGTTGCCGGAGACGATCTTGTAGTCGTGGAGGGTGACTGCGTCGCCAATCTAATAGGTACTTCAGGTAGAAGTAACGGTGGTTCATCAAACATGTCTGCTTCGTGAGGTAAAACGATCTCCTCGTTGAACGACCTCTGATGAGTTGACTTGCTAGGTCGCGTAGATATGCAATATGTATAACACAAGGTGGAAGAACATGGCTTAATGAATGATGGGCATTGGGGGTGAGGATCAGCCACTGATAGCTGGTACCTGCAAACACTGCAAGATTTCATGAAATGTAAACAAGTTACATTACGATGAAATATGTCACAAAATACAAATAATTTCTTCAATATTTTTACACATAATACAAACTAGTTATGGCCAAATACCATACACAGCGTAATTTCAATAAATAGGATCTAAACATAAAGGATATATGCCGTATACGGGACTCCAGTGCTCGCCCAACCATCCGCTTAGGCGAAAAGGGAGAGAGTGACAAGTAAGGCTGATCACATGACTGTTTGCACTGGAAAAGGTAGTTAACTCGAGGGTGAGTGTACTTTTATGTCGGCTTTAGGGAACTACAAAGGATTCAAGTGTTCCACTACCATTCGCTTAGAAGAGGGAGATAAGCAAAAGATCATGAGTCAGGATAAGGAAAAATTATGGTTTATTGTACAAATGAAAAGTATACCTCTAGTCTGTTGTAACACTCTGAAATAAACTTCTTGTGAATGGAAACCGGGTCCTGTGAAGAAAGAACATATAGAAGGTAAACAGATAATTAAAGTGTCCATATAATAATTCATTCCATTCATTCATTCATTCTGACTGAAAACAATGGTGAGGAAAGCAAACTGTGACTTGTTTTAGAATGTTTATCACATGCTGAAACCCAGGATCACAGGTATTGTGCAGAAACACCAAAACTGCATATATTGTCTATGACAATGGTCTTGAATGAAAATAGTATTGCCTTGAAATCCTTGGATCTCCTGATAGTCATAAACATTCACATACAGTCTAAGCCTTCTGCATTTAGAATAAGGTTAAAGGAATTGTAAAATAAATCTTTTCAAACATATTTTTGGTATTGAGCAGCAAAGGGGTAAAAACTGACACAGGAGTCTAATTAGAAAACATGCTGGACTAACATTCTTGGACAGTTTAGCTGCATGAAGTCTTTGCTATCTGCAACAATATCACAAGGTGTAGGACTGTGAAACTCTGATTGGATCATCTAACCAACAGCCTCTCCATAAAGATACTTCAACCATATCTTTTCCAGGTCAAGTTGGGTTTCCATGGCAACCAAATTAATCCCCTGCCACACAAATGCATGCTAGTGCACACAACATGATCACTCAAACAATAATTTATGTTAATGAAAAGTATACCTTCTTAAAACGTGGATTGAGGTTTGCATATGCCATGTTGAGGAGCAGGCTGATGGCTTGAGAAGCAATAGTTTCATCAGGAATGTTGAGGCAAATCTCCCACAGATAATCCAGCCCTAGTAGCTCACACTTCTCTACAACCTGAAACAGACACAACACCATGGTCACTTACAGTCTCTGTGTAACTGGAAAGGTCTTTTAGGTCAATACAAGCAAGCACATATTTTTCCAAATGCCAAAACCTTCCCATCAGAAACATGAAACAGAAATGTGAATAAAGCTACAAGAATATTCTTACTGTGATCATTCAGAGAATTATTTTTGTTATACCATTTCATTTTTTCGAATTTAAAAATATATGAAAAACTTTCAACTTGTTTGCTTTTTATTTTACAAAATCCCTTAATGAAAACACATAATGACAAGGTACTGCACTTTCCCTGTCTGCCATTTCTGATTTAAATATTAATGCTCAAAAGGTTACATCTACTGTTCTCCAAAACCTTTTCAGATAAGCAGTTAATTCCAGTATGAAGTCATATGCCAAGTTTTGTTGTAATACTACTACTACTTTAAGAAAACATGAAACCAAACAGTTGTCATCACTGCATAGGACAAACACGTTTCACCTTCACTGGTCCAGTGGTTCTGCAGCAGATGTTTCCTATTCATCGAAATGTATTATGATAGCATGTAAATGCATTGTCAAATTGCAAAGGTCAAATCAATGTAGAAATGTAAACTACATGCCCCAAACAGAACATTCTTTCAGCCCCATTGATGGCAGTCTCTTAAACGTCTTGAACATTTTGTAAATCTGCCTACTCACATACTCACCAGAGCATTACCCGATCGCTTCAACTTGTGCTCATACAGATTGACACTCTCAAAGAAATTCTTGAAACATGTAAATCCTGAAACATAGATGAATTTGATATTCAAGGTTCCTTTTCTGACACAACACATGACGATGTTATCTCCTCCTACATCATATCATAAAGAATCCAAATGTAGGGGTTCTTTGTCCTTGGTTACAAATCAAGAGTTATCTGTCCTTGTCCCCTCATTACCAGCTCATCAGCACTCGGTATCCCAGCAGGAGAAAGAAAGACAAGCATGAGTCTTGTTGTGGCAGGATAAGTATACCTAAATTCATTCTTATCCTGACACATTGCAATGCTTATCCCACAGGTGACAACTGCGTTTAGAAAGTGTAAAGAACATATCAGGAACATTTCATGGTGGTGCACACTTTAGAAAACTCTTACCCTTTTCACTTAGTTTTGCTGGATCAAGACGTAGAATCTCTTTCTGGAAAAGTTGGTTTTGTGTTTCTGCCTCCAGATCTGTTATCCCTTTACTGAACCACTCATAGCATGTCTGCAGTCGAGCACAGATAATAACTTCATTGAGAGGCAATTTAGTTACAAGTTTGAGTACAGAGTAAGGATAGCATATGTGGATGAACAATGTCTTTATAACAATTAGGAGTGATGTTTTGGTGTATGTTCTAACACTATTATCAAGCAAGTGATGTGAGAACCTACACTGAAACATGGCTTCTAATGGTACTGAAGAAGTTGTTCATCATACATAACAGTGGTTGATGGTTCTCAATTCTTTAAAAATGGAATCTTCTTTGGGGTACATATATACATTTTCTGCAACTGAAAATGTCTTGTGAAAGTTGTAACAATGTTTTCAGAAAAATATTGTACAAAATAAAAACATCTTTTTTATTTGTTATACAGCCCCCCACCACGTAGCATTACCTCCCTTTCCACAGCCAAGTACCCCAAATCATCGTTCCTTCTGCTGACGATATACACTAGTGAACAGAATTGGGGGGAGGTGGAAGGTACTACCCTAAGGAAGATTCTCTTCAAAGAATTGAAAACCTCTACAGGTTTGGCTAATTCGTTTTCAGAAGAGATCTTCCTTGGGGTACACAAATGAATAAACACAGACTCCCAAAGACCGAAGTCTTGGGAGAAGGTAAATTCTGTTAGCATAAAAAAACAACCAAATAGCGAAAAGCATAGCCGAAATAATGTTGGCTCGCCATTACACTTACCTGGTCACGTGATGTGCGGCTCAAAGGGAGGCATGCCAGAAGGTGACCCACAAGGGGGTTTCGTGCTCATTTCTGATCAGAAACATGTTAAGCACAAAGAACACGTAACAGTGTTCACCCCAGCCTTGCCGCCACCATAACAGCAGAACAACTAGGTACCCGTACGAATCCCCTTAGGTTGTTGCGACATCCAACATGTGAGCAGGTCCCAGATGTGGAAGGCTGGGTAAGAGTAGGAAGTTTGATAGGAGCTGTCACGTGGAAAGCAGGATCGATCTTAGGCTTAACTATCTGGGAGGCGAATATGGACATGATTAGTATGAAAAACCGGACATCGCATGAATATCCCTTACCCTACTACCGGAGGTCACCGCCACAAGAAAAGCTGTTTTCCATGTCAATTGAATGGAAAAAGCCAATAGACCTGAAAAGGCAGGACCGGACAGCCAATTCAGATTGACAAATCCCAACGTGGGCTGGTTTGCCTAATAGCAGGTCAAACCCGATCCATGCCCGCTAAGAAGCACTGTACAAAAGAGGGCTGCCCCTGAAGAGCACCATCAACAGGCATGTTAAACGTGGAAATAGCCATGGAGTATCCACGAATAGTGGCTGCCAAACCTTCTTCCAAACGGGGTTGAAGGAACTCCATAACCCGAACTAAATCCACAGAAAAGGGATCTGCAATCCCCCTATCTGAACTCCAGTGTGCATAGCGGGCCCATCTATCCTCATACTGAACATTTGTCAAAGAAGACGCACCACCTGGCCCTGGACATGCTCCTTGAAGCTCTCAAGTAGGGTTTCAGACTCTGACCAGCATCCGGACACCGACAGACTGCCCAGACAACACCCCCACCCGGTGAGGGATGCATCAGTTTGAACTGAATGAGCCGGCACCAGGAGTACTAAAGGGATCCCCCTGGAGAGATTCCTGGCATCGGCCCACCACTGAAGGTGAGGAGACAACCACTCGGGAACTACCAGAGACTTCTTGTGATCCTCTGAATTAGCCCACAGACTCGCCAAAGCTTGCTGTATAGAGCGCATCCTCAACCGTGCCCGCCACACCACCTCTACGGTCGCCGCCATATGACCCAGGAGCCATGTCCGTGCTGGAGCTTGGGGTCATGAGAGGAATGAAGGCATCATCTCCCGTATTCTCGTGACACTCTCAGACGAGTAGGAGAACAAACCCTCGTGCATTGTGAATCTCACCCCTAAGAAAACCAGATCCGGGGTGATTCAGGTAAGGGTGACAACACCTTCCTTGCGACCTTGCTATTTGCGCAGTCACCAACATGAGTTTGGTGAACACCCGTGGAGCAGGGGAGCACCCGAAACTGATAACAAATCCCGCGCAAGAGAACTGAAGGTAACACTTGAATGAGAGATTATCGGTACATGAAGAAACGCATCCATGAGATCGACTGACGTGAGCCAATCGCCGGGCTGAACTGAGGAGATCACCGAGCGAATTGTCTCCATCTTGATTGATGGAACCTCTATCATGTGATTCAACCCCTTGAGATGCTTGATGGGTATTTAAAAGTTGGAAGGTAACATAACAACATATGGTATGGATTTACAACTTCTTTGATATTTACAAAACAACGTTTCGGTGCTACTTTTTGCCCCTTCATCAGGTGGATGAAGACACCATCTCCCATGAAGGGGCAAGAAGTAAGCCATTCACCGGATGAAGGGGCAAGAAGTAGCCCAGATATTTTGTGTTGTAAATATTAAAGAAGCTGTAAATCCATACCATACGTTGTTATGCAACCAACTGTGGTTGAACATGGCACAGAAGCCTCTGTCCTTTGTGGGTACAAGGAGGTGAGGTGAGGTGAGGTGAAATTGGGTTTAACGTCGTGCTTGAGAATATTTCGCTCATATGACGTGGGGTACAAGGAAGTATGTGGAGTACATGCCCATGTGTTCCTCGCCCAAGGGTACATGCTCCATAATGGACTTGTCAAGCAGAGCCTCCCTAATCACCTGCTGGGACCCCAGACACAACGTCGCGTCGCGTATGAGACATGGCAGACCTCAAAGAGTCACACATCAGGTGGGTCTGCACCTCAGTCAACTGACCACAATGGGTGAAACGGGATTCCCCTCTGTTTCCAGGACGGACCTCTGAAGCGAGGAGAGGTGCGCACCATGGATGGCAACCCTGATCTGCTGACCTGCATTTCGCAAATGCTCCTCAAAGCTTTGATACAACGCACGCAGAGGGGATCCCGCGCAAGGGAAAAAGGCGGAATCAGCCTAGCCTGCTTGGCTAATGGAACAGCCGATGAGGAGGCCAAGCCTCCCCCAGGGTGACTGAGGAGAACACACATTCATCCACCACAAGAACCTGAAACAGTGAATCATCCCCAAGCTGGTATCGTATCTGACCGACCGAAGGCTAGGGGTCGACCACGTCTCGAACCAGCGATGGTAGAACGCAGAACTGAGTCGGGTAGACTGCCTAGGAGCAAAAGCCTCCCCCGGAAGATGGAACTCAGTCAAACCCTGTCACTCTAGCGGCACTGCAGCCTGAGGTAGTATGACAGCAATATGCTAGCGCACTTCCCCCAAGGCTGAAGAAAACGGAAAGCACCCTCAGAGCCATCCACATCCCCAACCTCTATCAACTATGGCTTCAAAAATCTGCCGTGCGCCTTCTTGCACACGTTAGGGGTAAAGTCAAGGCACAGCTCGCAAACATCAGGGTTGTCCCCAACCCACTCTAAACAGCAAAGAAACTTGTCATGTCTGTCGTGGAAAATAATTACAGCTTACACGGATTTAACATTGAAAATACATGAACAGAACGCATAAATGAAACAATTGATTTCAATAAGCAAGTTTCAATTAACGTGAACCAGATGCAAAATTCCCACCATTGAATACTATTGATGTAAACCACGTGGAAACATACGTAATTTACAACTATAAGTCACGGTTTTTTAGAAATGAATAACTGTAACGTCTCCAGAACGTTTTCATAACGTAATAAGGATAATGTACTCACAGTATTCGAAGTCTCAGACATTGTCAAAGTTCTCAGTCTTATACACATGTGTGGAACGTAACATGACAGCAGAAGGAATGATGATTTGGGGTAGGGATGTATCTGGCTGCCCACCACATGTGTGGTAAGGCAGGTAATCCCACATGGTGGGGGGATGTATAACAAATAAAAAAGACTTTTGTACAATATTTTTATTCAAACATTGTTACAACTGACACACGACATTTTCAGTCGCAGAAAATACATATATGTACCCCAAGGAAGATCTCTTCTGAAAAAGAATAAGGTTGAGTAATTACCCAAGACATGAGAAATGCCAAATGTGAACCTTTGTCAGTTTATCAAAGTGTTGTTACCACTAATTATGAATGTTATAAATTCCTTAACTGAACATCAAATGAATGATGACAAATAAACAGGTATAGATTTATACCACCAAACATGGATGACATCAAGGGAGTAATAATGGTTGTATTGTATGCAAATTGTATGCAAAAATACCCAGAGATATTTGTTGCCATTTTAAATACACAAACAGAACTTCAATGTTGCATAAAAAATATGTAAACACGTGCTGTGTACTAAAGTTAATAATTGTATATACAGATTTACCTAAGTGGAGTTTTTAATTGTAGCAATGGCATAATGGGGTTGATTAAATATAAGGCTTCAAATAGATCAAATTTGTATTTTTAATAGAATATATCAGTTTTAATGACTGTTGTGACAAGCGGGTATGCACAACAAACAGAACAGCTAAAGGGTTAACGAAACACAGGGATTGTCTCAAAATTGTCCAGTCTGAAATATTTTTATTGTCACTGTCAACTGTAATAACGTTAATAACTGACTGTTGCATGACATAAACTGTCCTTTTCCCCAATACAAAATATGGATTTCAGTTTTAATTTCATCAATGCACTTAGCCCAATATTGTCTAAACTATTTTTGACCAGCTTCCCCACATCTCATAACTTGAATGTTGTGTTGCTTCTGCCAACATCGCCCTTGACTGACTGACTGAGTTTGGTTTTACGCTGCTTTAAGCAATATTCCAGCAACATCACGGCGGGGGACACCAGAAATGGGCTTCACACATTGTACCCATGTGGGGATTCGAACCCGGGTCTTCGGCGTGACGAGCCAACGCTTTAACCACTAGGCTACCCCACCGCCCCTCGCCCTTGACACTACCCCAGACAAGTTCTATAGGGTTCAGGTCCCGAACATAGGGTGGTAGTCTCAGGACTGTTGAAGGCTGTTGTGTTAGCTTTTGACTGACATAAAGTAACTGACAATAGTTGATGAAGCTACAACAGGTTTTGTGAGTAGTACAGCTGCCAGGAACTTACTTCCCTCTCCCAGTCACAGGCCCGTGGGTTAGCTACCATGGTGGTCCAGACATCACGTGCCTTGCTCCATGGCAGGTACAGAACTCCCTCCTGGAGAACGTACTGCAGGAAGTACAGGTGTGTCGACATGTACTGAAATAACATACACCTAATCAGCTGACATACAGTACCAGGTTAAATACTATATTACTCTTACATATCATCATGATCAACACTAAAGGTTACAGAGCAACTGTACATCACCTGAACTTAAAGGTCACATGCAACGTAAAACACAACTTTGCAGATTCTGATACCTTTCGGTATGGACTTACCGAAACAAATCATCAAAAATGCAAATTCAACTTAAAAAGTTGAAAAATAACGCGATGAAAAAAAACTGCGTGAAATCATAGTTCAAATGATTCACTAATTTTCCTCCAGCACTTGGGGGAATTCAAGTGGTTTCAACAGCTGGGCTGCGCTCATAGCACATGCGTAGTGAAATAAGTTCGCGCAGGTTGGAAGCGGGTTGTCCGGTGAATGCTCGGAGAAGGCTTTGGTGTGAGCTATTTTTTCTAATGTTTTGTTGATATTTCACAGGCGCAAGCTTTTTATATGTTATGACAGTAGATTAACTGTTTATATAATTTCATTTGTCTATTTCATCACACGTTCTTCTTACCGAGTCACTTCCTCAGTTCGATACTTAAAAGCAATGTCATTATTTAGTAGCGTTGACAGAATTTCTAACTGTGATATAGATATGTCGTTGTCACAGATAAAACTCAATGTCTGTTTTATTGACACCTATGTGTCTGCCTGCCTGTCTGCTAATGACAATATTCAATACACAACTTCGATCGCTGACCACATGCAATTTGAACTTAACACCTATCAAGCTATACACCATAAACAAAAACGCATTGATTTTTGGCCCAAGTTCGGTCTCTGTCACATTATGTATAATTACACAGACAAGCAGGTGTGATACTTGTTCACATGACATGTTATGATGTCTGTTGATTGCAAAATGTTATACACAAAAAATGAGCATGTATTTACAAAACCCAACATCTCTATATACACACACAATGAGCCGTGCGGGCATCTGCTAATGAACCAGACGTTACACTTGAGTGCACACCCACCCGCTCTGACTGGGTTCCGTATCCCGGCTGCTTCGTTTCTTGGGAAGTAAACCCAAGTACAAAATATTGCACTTTTGATTTGCGATTGTACGCTTATATTTTTGTTTATATGTTTTTTTCCATAACCAGCAATGTATATTATATGTCATGAAAAAGTCATAATTGTGTTTTAATTATGTTTGATTTTTTGGTTGCATGTGACCTTTAAGGATTTGTTGCAATTTAGATGAGACTATAAATGATGTTAAATTCCAATCCTCCTACTTACATCAGCATGTGTATATCTACCATCCACCACTGAGTTTTCCTGAAGTGGCTGACCATCACCAACCAAGGCAGTTGCATTCTTGTGACACTTGACTAAACTGCTGCTCACCAACTTGATGACGTCACAGTTCTTGTTCAGTTCATGTATGACGCCCTGTAGACAGTTATGCAAAAAATAGTCTACAATGTCACAGGGGGATAGGTATAGTATATATCACAGACTGACAGGTATTGTGTATATCAGAGGTAGAGGTATAGTATATATCACAGACTGACAGGTATTGTGTATATCACAGAGGTATAGGTATAGTATATATCACAGACTGATAGGTATTGTGTATATCACAGAGGTATAGGTATAGTATATATCACAGACTGATAGGTATTGTGTATATCACAGAGATATAGGTATAGTATATATCACAGACTGACAGGTATTGTGTATATCACAGAGATATAGGTATAGTATATATCACAGACTGATAGGTATTGTGTATATCACAGAGATATAGGTATAGTATATATCACAGACTGACAGGTATTGTGTATATCACAGAGATATAGGTATAGTATATATCACAGACTGATAGGCATTGTGTATATCACAGAGATATAGGTATAGTATATATCAGACTGACAGGTATAGTGTATACTGTTTTGCCTCCTCACACCTGTGATAGAAATCTTGCAAATAATTTCAACTCCTATTTTGTCTCTAAAATAGAGAAAATACATGGTGACTTGGACAACACATGCTCTGGAGAAGACATAGCTTTTGATTCTGCTGTGTTTTGTGGAGTTCCTATGAATTGCTTCACCGAGTTCTCTGAGGGAGAAATTCTTACTTTAATAAAGAAAGCAAATCCACAACATGTGATCTTGACCCTATGCCGACAAAGATTCTACTTGAATACATTGATGTCCTTTTTCCAGTGATCACAAGGATTGTCAATAAGAGTCTATCAACAGGAATAGTTCCTGTTAATCTCAAAGAGGCAGTGGTCAAACCTCTTCTAAAGAAACAGGACTTAGACGTGTCGATCCTTAGTAACTACCGACCTGTGTCCAACCTATCATTCCTTTCAAAAGTGCTTGAAAAGGCTGTGAAGTGTAGACTCTCCTTACATCTTGACAGATTTGACTTACTGGATAAGAATCAGTCTGCATATAGGCCAGATCACAGTACTGAAACAGCGCTGCTACGCATTATGAAAAATTTGTTGACATCTGTTGATGGTGGGTGTGTTGGCTTGTTGGTTTTGTTAGATATCTCAGCGGCATTTGATACCATCGATCATGAACAACTCTCAGCAACACTGAGGGAGTCAATAGGTATTGATGGAACTGTACTGAAATGGTTTATATCATACCTTTCTGGTCGAGTCCAGTCAGTTTGTATCGGTGATTCAAATTCTGAAACTGCCATCTTAAAGTATGGTGTTCCTCAAGGATCTGTCCTTGGGCCCATCCTATTCACACTGTATACTACTGATCTTGGCAAATCTCTTTCAACCTCAAGTATAAATCATCATATGTAGTATGTACACAGATGATACACAGTTACTTAAAAGTTTTCTACCCCCAAAATGCATGCCACTCTGTGACTGAACTGGAAGTGTGCACTGATAGCATCAAGTCCTGGATGACTATGCACAAGCTGAAACTAAATGACAGCAAAACGGAGGCTCTTCTTGCAGGAACTCTGCCTAAACGGTTCGCTGCTGGTGTGAAGACTGTTCGAGTAGGAGACTCTGAGATTACAGTTTCGGAATGTGTCAAGAATCTTGGTGTGGTTTTCGACAACAATCTATTAATGGATGATCACATATGTAAAATCTGTCACTCTTTCTAGTTTCATCTAAGGCATATTGGTTCCATTAGAGATCTTCTCTCTACAGATATGGCGCATATGCTAGTAAGAACACTTGTATTGACAGTACTTGATTATGCAAATAGCTTGTTGGGAAATCTAACCCAGGAACAGTTTGCAAAACTCCAACAGGTACAAAACACTGCAGCACGGATCGTGACCCGAACGAGGAAGTGTGCACATATATCACCAGTGCTTACTTCCCTACACTGGCTCCCAGTCCAAGCTCGAGTCCAATACAAGATTCTCACATTGACATATAAATTTGTCAATCAAACGGCTCCTGCCTATCTGACAGAATTGATTGAGAAATATGAACCTTCTCGGACACTAAGATCTGCTGATCAGTTACTTCTTAAAGTACCCAAATCCCGCCTCAAAAAGTATGGACAGAGATCATTTGCTTACATGGTCCCAACTCTGTGGAACGATGTTCCCTTGGGAATAAAGAAATCCCAATCACTGACAATCTTTAAAAGCTGCATAAAGACTCATCTCTTCCAAAAATTCTATAAAGATTGATATACCAGTGAAAATATAGCACCTCCACTGCTGTGTATTTACATTTTGTGTAGCGCCATGAGCAGACACCAAGTGCCTGGAGTTTTGGCGCATAACAAATTCACTGTACTACTAGTGTATCACAGAGGTATAGGTATAGTATATATCACAGAGGTATATTAACATCACACAGAGGTACAGTATATATCACAGAGTAAGAGCTATAGTATAAAACACAGAGGGAGAGATATAGTAAACATCACATACAGGTATAGTATATATCGCAGAAAGAACTTACCTTATCAGCCTTGTGGAAGCTCTGCTTGATGATATTCTTGCTGATGTTGATGAGCTGCCGTAATGCTGGCAAGACAAACGCTCCCTACAGAGACACAACAGAATGGGAGTGAAAGTCAAAGAAGGAAACACATGTTGAACATAAGAAAGATTCAGCTGACAGATAACAAATGTTGCTTTTAACAAAATGATGGAATCAAACCCAAATGTTGGTGGCAATTTGCACAGTTTAAACATGTGTATGCATTCCCATGTACCTAATACATGTTTTGTTTGTTGTCAGTAATAATCAGTAAATGGAAAGTCAATCCAATGTCAGTAAATAATCAAGTATGGAAAGTCAATCCAATGTCAGTAAATAATCAAGTATGTAAAGTCAATCCAATGTCAGTAAAACAATCAAGTATGGAAAGTCAATCCAATGTCAGTAAATAATCAAGTATCGAAAGTCAATCCAATGTCAGTAAACAATCAAGCATGGAAAGTCAATCCAATGTCAGTAAATAATCAAGTATCGAAAGTCAATCCAATGTCAGTAAACAATCAAGTATGGAAAGTCAATCCAATGTCAGTAAATAATCAAATATAGAAAGTCAATCCAATGTCAGTAAACAATCAAGTATGTAAAGTCAATCCAATGTCAGTAAATAATCAAGTATGGAAAGTCAATCCAATGTCAGTAAACTATCAAGTATGGAAAGTCAATCCAATGTCAGTAAACAATCAAGTATGGAAAGTCAATTCAATGTCAGTAAATAATCAAGTATCGAAAGTCAATCCAATGTCAGTAAATAATCAAGTATGGAAAGTCAATCCAACGTCAGTAAATAATCAAGTATGGAAAGTCAATCCAATCTTAGGAAATAATCAAGTATGGAAAGTCAATCCAATGTCAGTAAATAATCAAGTATGTAAAGTCAATCCAATGTTCGTAAAACAATCAAGTATGGAAAGTCAATCCAATGTCAGTAAATAATCAAGTATCCAATGTCAGTAAACAATCAAATATGGAAAGTCAATCCAATGTCAGTAAATAATCAAGTATGGTAAGTCAATCCAATGTCAGTAAACAATCAAGTATGGAAAGTCAATCCAATGTCAGTAAACAATCAAGTATGGAAAGTCAATCCAATGTCAGTAAATAATCAAGTATGGAAAGTCAATCCAATGTCAGTAAATAATCAAGTATGGTAAGTCAATCCAATGTCAGTGAACAATCAAGTATGGAAAATCAATCCAATGTCAGTGAACAATCAAGTATGGAAAGTCCATCCAATGTCATCAAATAATCAAGTATCGAAAGTCTATCCAATGTCAGTAAATAATCAAGTATGGAAAGTCAATCCAATCTCAGTAAACAATCAAGTATGGAAAGTCAATCCAATGTCAGAAAATCATCAAGCATCCAATGTCAGAAAACAATCAAGTATGGAAAGTCAATCCAATGTCATAAAATAATCAAGTATCGAAAGTCTATCCAATGTCAGTAAATAATCAAGTATGGAAAGTCAATCCAATGTCATAAAATAATCAAGTATCGAAAGTCTATCCAATGTCAGTAAATAATCAAGTATGGAAAGTCCATCCAATGTCATCAAATAATCAAGTATCGAAAGTCTATCCAATGTCAGTAAATAATCAAGTATGGAAAGTCAATCCAATGTCAGTGAACAATCAAGTATGGAAAGTCAATCCAATGTCATAAAATAATCAAGTATGGAAAGTCAATCCAACGTCAGTAAATAATCAAGTATGGAAAGTCAATCCAATCTTAGGAAATAATCAAGTATCGAAAGTCAATCCAATGTCAATAAACAATCAAGTATGGAAAGTCAATCCAATGTCAGTAAATAATCAAGTATGGAAAGTCAATCCAATGTCAGTAAATAATCAAGTATGTAAAGTCAATCCAATGTTCGTAAAACAATCAAGTATGGAAAGTCAATCCAATGTCAGTAAACAATCAAGTATGGAAAGTCAATCCAATGTCAGTAAATAATCAAGTATTGAAAGTCAATCCAATGTCAGTAAACAATCAAGCATGGAAAGTCAATCCAATGTCGGCAAATAATCAAGTATGGAAAGTCAATTCAATGTCAGTAAACAATCAAGTATGGAAAGTCAATCCAATGTCGGTAAATAATCAAGTATGGAAAGTCAATCCAATGTCAGTAAATAATCAAGTATCCAATGTCAGTAAACAATCAAATATGGAAAGTCAATCCAATGTCAGTAAATAATCAAGTATGGTAAGTCAATCCAATGTCAGTAAACAATCAAGTATGGAAAGTCAATCCAATGTCAGTAAATAATCAAGTATGGAAAGTCAATCCAATGTCAGTAAATAATCAAGTATGGAAAGTCAATCCAATGTCAGTAAATAATCAAGTATGGTAAGTCAATCCAATGTCAGTGAACAATCAAGTATGGAAAATCAATCCAATGTCAGTGAACAATCAAGTATGGAAAGTCCATCCAATGTCATCAAATAATCAAGTATCGAAAGTCTATCCAATGTCAGTAAATAATCAAGTATGGAAAGTCAATCCAATCTCAGTAAACAATCAAGCATGGAAAGTCAATCCAATGTCAGAAAATCATCAAGCATCCAATGTCAGAAAATAATCAAGTATCGAAAGTCAATCCAATGTCAGTAAATAATCAAGTATGGAAAGTCAATCCAATGTCAGTAAATAATCAAGTATGGTAAGTCAATCCAATGTCAGTGAACAATCAAGTATGGAAAATCAATCCAATGTCAGTGAACAATCAAGTATGGAAAGTCCATCCAATGTCATCAAATAATCAAGTATCGAAAGTCTATCCAATGTCAGTAAATAATCAAGTATGGAAAGTCAATCCAATGTCAGTGAACAATCAAGTATGGAAAGTCAATCCAATGTCATAAAATAATCAAGTATGGAAAGTCAATCCAATGTCAGTAAATAATCAAGTATGTAAAGTCAATCCAATGTTCGTAAAACAATCCAGTATGGAAAGTCAATCCAATGTCAGTAAAACAATCAAGTATGGAAAGTCAATCCAATGTCAGTAAATAATCAAGTATCGAAAGTCAATCCAATGTCAGTAAACAATCAAGCATGGAAAGTCAATCCAATGTCGGCAAATAATCAAGTATGGAAAGTCAATTCAATGTAAGTAAACAATCAAGTATGGAAAGTCAATCCAATGTCGGTAAATAATCAAGTATGGAAAGTCAATCCAATGTCAGTAAATAATCAAGTATCCAATGTCAGTAAACAATCAAATATGGAAAGTCAATCCAATGTCAGTAAATAATCAAGTATGGTAAGTCAATCCAATGTCAGTAAACAATCAAGTATGGAAAGTCAATCCAATGTCAGTAAATAATCAAGTATGGAAAGTCAATCCAATGTCATAAAATAATCAAGTATGGAAAGTCAATCCAATGTCAGTAAATAATCAAGTATGTAAAGTCAATCCAATGTTCGTAAAACAATCCAGTATGGAAAGTCAATCCAATGTCAGTAAAACAATCAAGTATGGAAAGTCAATCCAATGTCAGTAAATAATCAAGTATCGAAAGTCAATCCAATGTCAGTAAACAATCAAGCATGGAAAGTCAATCCAATGTCGGCAAATAATCAAGTATGGAAAGTCAATTCAATGTCAGTAAACAATCAAGTATGGAAAGTCAATCCAATGTCGGTAAATAATCAAGTATGGAAAGTCAATCCAATGTCAGTAAATAATCAAGTATCCAATGTCAGTAAACAATCAAATATGGAAAGTCAATCCAATGTCAGTAAATAATCAAGTATGGTAAGTCAATCCAATGTCAGTAAACAATCAAGTATGGAAAGTCAATCCAATGTCAGTAAATAATCAAGTATGGAAAGTCAATCCAATGTCAGTAAATAATCAAGTATGGAAAGTCAATCCAATGTCAGTAAATAATCAAGTATGGAAAGTCAATCCAATGTCAGTAAACAATCAAGTATGGAAAGTCAATCCAATGTTAGTAAATCATCAAGTATGGAAAGTCAATCCAATGTCAGTAAATAATCAAGTAAGGAAAGTCAATCCAATGTCAGTATATAATCAAGCATGGAAAGTCAATCCAATGTCAGTAAACAATCAAGTATGGAAAGTCAATCCAATGTCAGTAAATAATCAAGTATGGAAAGTCAATCCAATGTCAGTAAATAATCAAGTATGGAAAGTCAATCCATTGTCAGTAAATAATGAAGTATGGAAAGTCAATCCAATGTCAGTAAATAATCAAGTATGTAAAGTCAATCCAATGTCAGTAAAACAATCAAGCATGGAAAGTCAATCCAATGTCAGTAAACAATCAAGTATGGAAAGTCAATCCAATGTCAATAAATAATCAAGTATGGAAAGTTCATCCAATGTCAGTAAATAATCAAATATCCAATGTCAGTAAATAATCAAGTATGGAAAGTCAATCCAATGTCAGTATATAATCAAGCATGGAAAGTCAATCCAATGTCAGTAAATAATCAAGTATGGAAAGTCAATCCAATGTCAGTAAATAATCAAGTATGGAAAGTCAATCCAAAGTCAGTAAATAATCAAGTATCCAATGTCAGTAAACAATCAAGTATGGAAAGTCAATCCAATGTCAGTAAATAATCAAGTATGGACTGACTGACTGACTGAGTTTGGTTTTACGCCGCTTTTAGCAATATTCCAGCAACATCACGGCGGGGGACACCAGAAATGGGCTTCACACATTGTGCCCATGTGGGGATTCGAACCCGGGTCTTCGGCGTGACGAGCCAACGCTTTAACCATTAGGCTACCCCACCGCCCCAATCAAGTATGGAAAGTCAATCCAATGTCAGTATATAATCAAGTATCCAATGTCAGAAAATAATCAAGTATAGAAAGTCAATCCAATGTCAGTAAATAATCAAGTATTGAAAGTCAATCCAGTGACAGTAAATAATCAGTAAATGGAAAGTCAATCCAATGTCAGTAAATAATCAGTAAATGGAAAGTCAATCCAATGTCAGTAAACAATGACTGACTGACTGAGTTCAGTTTTACGCCGCTTTTAGCGATATTCCAGCAATATAACGGCGGGGGACACCAGAAATGGGCTTAACACATTGTGCCCATGTGGGGAATCGAACCCGGGCCTTCGGCGTGACGAGCCAAAGCTTTAACCACTAGGCTACCCCACCGCCCCCAGTAAACAATCAAGTATGGAAAGTCAATTCAATGTCAGTAAATAATCAAGTATCAAATGTCAGTAAATAATCAAGTATGGAAAGTCAATCCAATGTCAGTAAATCATCAGTAAATGGAAAGTCAATCCAATGTCAGTACATAATCAAGTATGGAGAGTCAATCCAATGTCAGTAAATAATCAAGTATGGTAAGTCAATCCAATGTCAGTAAATAATCAAGTATGGAAAGTCAATCCAATGTCAGTAAATAATCAAGTATCCAATGTCAGTAAATAATCAAGTATGGAAAGTCAATTCAATGTCAGTAAATAATCAAGTATGTAAAGTCAATCCAATGTCAGTACATAATAAAGTATGGAAAGTTCATCCAATGTCAGTAAATAATCAAGTATGGAAAGTCAATTCAATGTCAGTAAATAATCAAGTATCCAATGTCATTAAATAATCAAGTATGGAAAGTCAATCCAATGTCGGTAAATAATCAAGAATGGTAAGTCAATTCAATGTCAGTAAACAATCAAGTATGGAAAGTTAATCCAATGTCAGTAAATAATCAAGTATGGAAAGTCAATCCAATTTCAGTAAACAATCAAGTATCCAATGTCAGTAAATAACCAAGTATACAATGTCAGTAACCAATCAAGTATGGAAAGACAATCCAATGTCAGTAACCAATCAAGTATGGAAAGTCAATCCAATGTCAGTAAATAAGCAAGTATGGTAAGTCAATCCAATGTCAGAAAATAATCAATTATGGAAAGTCAATCCAATGTCAGTAAATAATCAAGTATCTAATTTCGGCAAATAATCAAGTATGGAAAGTCAATCCAATGTCAGTAAATAATCAAGTATGGTAAGTCAATCCAATGTCAGAAAATAATCAATTATGGAAAGTCAATCCAATGTCAGTAAATAATCAAGTATCCAATTTCAGCAAATAATCAAGTATGGAAAGTCAATCCAATGTCAGTAAATAATCAAGTATGGTAAGTCAATCCAATGTCAGAAAATAATCAAGTATGGTAATTCAATCCAATGTCAGAAAATAATCAAGTACGGAAAGTCAATCCAATGATTAACATCATGAGCATCAATCTACACAATTGGGAAATGATGACCTGCATCAACCAAGTCAGCAAGTCTGTCCACCGTTAGGCACCTCTTGCGACAAATGTGGGTTGCGAATCATCAATGTTTTCATGAGCCTAACACTTGATAACAGGTTAACTTCAAACAAGCATTTAAACTTTGGGTAGGGCTTCTGAGTGGCTTCAACATGATTTTATGCAAAGACATTTTGCTCAGGACCAAATGTTAATCACATGTCATTTATGACAAAGCTATCAAGATACCAAATCTGTTCAAAACTGCCTACATTCTCGAGGACCTTTTGATTGCCAAATCGTTGTACCCCAAACATGTTTTCTGTTTCAAGGTGCCCTTAGTAATATTCCCACTAAATGACAGTAGTTAGTCCATAAATAAGCGATTCTTGACCAGACAATCATATGATAGATATCAGGAGCATCAGTCCATGCAAATGTGATTCAATAACATGCAAACTACTAAGCAAGTACATCTCATCAGCCAAAGGAATTACCTAGTCACCTCTACAACAAGCTGGGGTCATATATTCAGACCTGGAAATTCTCACTGTTTCTTAACCTGTTTTGAGGAGCCTCCTTAACACAATGCACAAACTATACACAATGCCATTTTGTGTCGAGGAGACTCAAGTAACTTCTTTTTATTCCTGTTACTTTACTTCACTTTCTGTCTTCTCACAATCAGTGGTCATGATATTGCTACAAGTGGGTGAAAAGTTTCAAACCTAACTATGCAAGACTGTGACGACCAAGTGTGTTGTTATTTTTCAACATAATCCCCTCCAAGGTTTGCACCACTTCTGGCAATGATGCCAGAGTGCATGGATCTCAGTGATGTAGAAGGCCTCATCATAGTGGTGTAATAAGTCCTGCGCAGCAGAAGTGACACGAATTTGCACAATGCTTCCCACAGTTCTTCCTTCAAATTTGGGAAGAGGTAAACATGTGACGGTGGCAGATCTGATAAATACAGAGGATGCTCTATGAGAAGCACCTGATCACAAGTTGTGGTTCTATCTTACCTTTTTAATATCATCCACACATTTGATGACATATTGTAGTTTGATCTGTTCCTTGACACTGTATGAATCACTTAGTATTGCATGGTGTTCATCCAGTGCTTGCTCTATGAGGTGAGTTGATAAAGCTGGTAGATGGGCCAGGTCCCACAGCAGCTCCAGCACCTGAAATACCAATATGATCAAACAATCCTGGAGAAGCAAATTACATTAAAAAATGACTTGATACAATGAACCTTGTAAGGGAGGACCCAAACAGTCCAGAAGCCTCCCCACCTTCTTAACAATTCTTTACATGTTTACTGCATTCTTGACAATAAGACCTATGAGTCAAGCCACATAATTATGCTTGCATGTCAAAAAGTAAAAAGTATTGTGGATGCATATTTTATAAACTGCCTCAGCAAATAATATGCTAGAACATTTCTTGTTGATGTTATACCAATGGAGGTTGCTTAATTATTCAAAACACACAAATTATTTAAAGAATGACAATGGTCTTACATAACTGCTAATAAAATACACTAACTCAAAGAGGCTGCTTAATGTTTTAAAGAAGAGAACTGTAAAAACCACCTGATCATACGAAAGAGCTTCCAAAATTAGTGCAAACGCTAATAATTCAAAGAATACTACCTCTAACACCTGATCACCTCTTTCCTGAAACTTGTTTTCTGAATCAACAGGTTTAGCTTGAATTTTGTAAGTCCATGTTTTTGTGTTGTCGTTCTTTCTAGTGGGCCTCCAAACACAGAAAAATACATAATTGTTTCTGGGGAACCTAATGAAGGTACTGTGGGATTTCTGGGGAATGGATTTCTGGGCCTTTACCTCAAGTTGTAGAGGCTGTACTCAAAGAACTGTCATCATTGCTGATACTGTTCCAAAATTCTTACAAATATGTCCCTCTCACACTTTATTGCCGAATCCCTTGGTGGGCCCAGATTACCCCCGATCTCGGTGAGAAAGACAACCATAAAACTCACAAATCTAATGCTTATTGATAAGACAAATAGACCTGTGTTTGATGTCATGCTGCTGTATTGATATTGTAGTGCATTATGACATCATTAACGGTCAACAGAGTTAAATAGTTAATTCATCCTCAGCTGTATCTCTATCGGCCAATTAAAGATCACATATACTCTAGGGGGGTACAAATACATAAATCACTAACTCGCATCACTATAAATGAAACCCCGTCATAAAAACTACTCACTTCGGTCTTTAATTAACTTAAATCGACCTTTTTGACAACAGTGCACAATTCTCACCCGCGAACAAAATTTCAACCAATCACAGCGAGGCGTCTTTGTGACGTCATATGAGGAATAGATATGAGGGCCGATGCAGAATTCATCTACATTTCAGGGGTAAATTATCTTGTTTACAGGTTTGTATAAACCTGAAATCGTGACAACTGTTGTGGAAAATGAAAGCTATATGTTCTCACAATCTACTGTCATTTAATTTTGTCTCCTGCTTTGCCTAGTTTCCAAGTTACAACTTGTTTTCATACACGATTCTGTCAAAATCGCTTGGTGTCGTTAGGCCTTATTTGTATAATGACTGATCCAAATTGATCCCATTCCTGTGTTTTTTTTATACCTCGATATTTAATCATGTCCTGTAAAAAATCTGTTTGTATTCTCAAAACAGTGTCGGCCCATAAGTTTTCACATGCAATACAGCAATTAATACTCCCTTGTTGTAACCTGTGTTAGGTGGTATAAACCTACACGTTATTTGTCATCATTCACTTGATGGTCAGTTAATGAATTTATAACAAGTATAATTAGTGGTAACACCACTACCTGACAAAGGTTCCCATTTGGCATTTCTTGTGTCTGGAGTAAATATTCAACATTATAAACATCGATCAAAGGATTAACCGATAACACGCTGATTGATTAATTACTTTTATTTTACACAGCGGATTTGTCAAAAGGTAGTGTTTATGTATGTAGATTTACTAATCTATACTGAATACACTCTGTCGTGTCGGTGTCTGCGTAAAAACAACGTCCTTCTTTCAAAGGATTAACCGCCAATACATTGATTGATTGCCCATTATTGGCTAACTAAATTACTGTTTTTAAAGAAAGGAGGCCATTATGCAATTAGTTGCCAGGTGTGCTATCTTGGGTGACCAATGAGAAATACCTGAAAAGATTTATCACTTTTTCGTATATTAAACTGTTAAAAGACACATCACTTGGAACAGCTGCAGATGAATGGCATGTCACTCGTTTTTGTGGATATTGATGGATACATTCCTCGAACAAGCTAACAGCCTGACATTGTTCCTAGAACTTTAATCTGTTTAAATTTTAATATTTGCATTTTGTTTTTATTCATTTGTCGTAGCATTCAACAGAATCATTGTCTTCGCCGTGAAGTGTAATGAGACAGACAACATACACTAGGGTGTGTGTGCGAATTATGATTCACATTAGCAAACTATAAAATGTCTAGATATTACAATTCTGCAGGGGCGGATACAGCTTTTTGAGAAAGGGGGGGGTGCACACTATTGAGAAAAGGGAGGGTGCACACTTCATTTTCACCCGAGTTTCAATGGTCATTTAATAAACTTTCAGGACAAAAGGGGTCGCACCCCTGCACACACCACCCCCTCCCTCTGGATCCGCCTATGTTATAAATTCACTATAAGTATCAGCATATCGTCTGCTTTTTATTTAGTTTCAAAATGCATAAAAGTTTAAACTAATTAGAATCCTTTTTGTGAAGAAAATAATGGACCTAACAGCTTGGATACTAGATAGCACTGAAGTTCGATGTACCAGACAAGGCTTTGTCAATAACAAACTTTGGTTCAACAGCCAATGGGGGTTGACGGATGTGGTATGGCCAGATCAGATAGGACAGTAGGGCCGCCTAGCTCCCCCATGTTAGACTGATTATCTATGGTTATCTCAGTGTCTGCAGGCACCTTGGCTGCAGTCTTGGAGCAGTTTCATCGACCATCAGAGCCATATTAGAAGCCAAACCTTAGTTAAATCATTTGACAGAATATTTCAGAAGACAAGTAAACACAGCTTGCAAATTATGAGGATAACTCCTGCGGATAGCACTTAGAGGACCACTAGGAAGAAAGACAACAGAAAACCATAAACAATTTTATTCAAGTTATTAAACCTGCAGATTCAGAAACAAGTTTCAGGAAAAAAGCAATCAAGTGGTGGAGGGATGTATTTGTAAGAATTATGCACCATCTCTCTGATCCACACTTTAGGCATTTTGAGCCACCCTTCAAACAATCTTGCTACCTTACTAACAGAATTATAAGCACATGATGCCTAAGCCAGTTCAAGTTTGAAACAGAAAGTCAATTGTTCCAAACTGGGCAAATAGATACAGCAGTCCCTCTTACCATACCCATTGGAGGCTGCCTATTAACTGACATCTGTCAAGTCACTGTGGTCATTTCAATGAGACAAAAATATGGCATATGTGCTACTTAATAACAGGCAGTCATGTGGAGCTTTTCATATATACCGTATATTACCGTCTATAAGCCGAATTTTGAGGACCAAAAAAAGCAGTCTGTAGAAGGGGGTCGTCTTATCCATGGGTCACGTTTTCGTCAAACTTTTTTCCAGGGGTAAGAAAACAACATCGTATCACTTCCCGTGAACAAACAACAGAAGACGACTTTGTCAGTAGAGACGTCAAATTTGCAATTAAACATCACTAGACAAGATTATATGTTGTTTTTGCTGGGCATTGTATTATTTGCAGGGATAAAGATTACCGTGTGTATCTGAGCAGGAAATAGCAATCAGCTGTGCGCAAACATGCACAATAATATAACGGGACGAATTCTTACGCAGTCATCAGTCAAATATAATACAGAATACTATTATTTAACCCAAAGAAATATATCCTAGCATTGTGTAATTTTAATTACAGTTTTTGCTCTATAAATTAATTAAGATTAAGATGACTGTGTGTATTTGAGTCGGAAATAGCAATCAGCAGCGAACAAGTTCAAACATGCACAATAATATAACGGGACGAATTCTGATGCAGTCGTCAGTAAAATATAATACAGAGTACTATTACTTAACCCAAAGAAACAGTTTTTATGTAAAATATATATAATCAACACTAAGGTTATACGGACCCTCATGAACGTGGTAAGCAGAAGTTGTACACACATGGAATGGGGTAAAATACGGAAGCCATTTAAATTCACACATTTTTACCGATGTTACTGTAAACTAGCAGTCAATGGAAAACGAAGCGGTAATCAGTTCATGATTGTTGAATGGGGTAAAATAAGCAAGCCAGTTTGTTGTTACAATAAATATGATATTTAGAGAAACAAAATATATTATGCACTTTCTGTCAACTACACTTCGTTTCGATCCGTGAGTAGACGCAATATGTAATTTTTAGAGTAAAATTGATATTTTATACTTATCCTGACTCATGCTCTTTTGCTTGTCTTCTTCTTCTTGCGAACATAGTGGAACACTTGTTTCTCCTTAATTGAAGCTCCCTTCAATGTAAAATCACTAATTAGTACTCACCAAGAGTTGCCTCCCTTTGCCTCCGCGCGGGAAAAGGTGGCGCCACCCTCTGGCCTCATGCTTCACTCTCTCCTGATTTTGCGAGCCCAACACTTGAATTTACAGGGAAATCCAAAGTGTTATGTGGGGAGGATGGGAGGGCTTACCTCATGAGTCAGGATAAGTATAAAATATCAATTTTACTCTAAAAATTACATATTTTTCCTTATCCTGATTCATGCTCTTTTGCTTGTAGAATCCTACGGAAACGGAGGTGGGAAAGAACAGAATACTTTGGATTTATAAAATTAGTGATTTATATAGATATAACTGTAATAACCGACTAACGGGAACTTCATAAAGGCACTGACTTTGGATATTTCCTCTACTATAAACCATAAGTTTATATATTGCCATAACTGGGGTATTACAATAATAATATACTATGATATTAGCCAATAAGATATAAAAGCGACTCTGACAAGAGAAGCTATACAACTGAACATAATCATCAGTATAAGCTTAAGGCTGAGTAGACCTAAGCTAAGTATATACATAGCCCTAGAACTCCGTAGAGTTATAAGCTAGATAATGCAGGTATGAAATATACATAATAATCTCATAAGACTA